CCCCTCCTGAGGATCACCCTCCCCAAAGCCTTATACAATTTGCCGCTACTTAGTCGGGCACCAAGAAATACCTCCTTGAAGTATGATGGCGGCTCGGGACTAGGCTTTTTGGCATGTACTGACTCTGACTGGGCTTCAGACCCTAATTCGAGACGATCGATCACAGGATACTTCATAAAATTGGCTAAACGGAATAGTCTCCTGGACTTCACGAGCACAGAAAACTGTTGCACTGTCGTCTACAGAAGCCGAGTATATGGCACTCTCTGATTGCAGTCGCCAAATGCTCTGGATACGAGCTTTGTTCATGGAGCTCGGGTATAGGTTTAACCGATTACCCATCTGCGGTGATAACCAAGGATCGATATTCATCGCATCCAATGCGGTTACTGAACGCCGCTCCAAACACATTGATGTGCTATATCACTTCATCCGAGAGCACGTCAATAAGGAGCTTGAGCTGTTCTACATCGAAGGTTCTGAGAACCCCGCAGACATGTTCACCAAGAACTTGGGACATGAAAAATTCCTCAAGTTCAGGTCACAACTGGGCCTAGTGTTCGGTTGACACCATCGTCCTCCCTGTGGCTGCATTTTTGCGCTATATCCGCTTACGTGCCTATTGTTGCACTCAGCGAGGGGGAGTGTTGAACTGGCGCTCTACAGCCACCGATTCACAGGCGCTGGCACAGCCCGCCTTGACTGCCGTCCTCGGCACAGCTGTATCTATTTCTGACACAATAGGCTGTGCGTTGCTACGTTCCACAGCCTTCTTTATTGTTCTATAGCTTAGCATGTGATTGCACCGCATAGCCACTCTCTGTAGTATATATACAGGCCTGTCTGAGGGTTGCAATACAAGTCGCTTTACTTCTGTCCTCCACAGACTGAGACTTACCCAGACTCAACCAGGTGAGCTTGACGTCGCCCGCCACTGTGTGCGGCAGCGCAGCTTTCACACTCAGCCTCTATCATACCGAGTGCGGCAGAGTAGTGGCAGAGATCAGCTCTTGTCCCAAGGGTCAAGCACCCGGCTGGTACTCGCAGGGTATGCAGCAGTGGATGTCACATACTTGTGACAGTTCTCGATTGACCAGATTAATGGACGATCTGGCACGTCAGTTAAAACTGCGGCCTGGTGCCTTGTCCTCCACAATCACCCCTGATCACCTCTGGAGCTTGATGTTTCGCGGGATCCCCGGAATGTCCTACGTGTCTCCATAACATGCATCGCGGACTCCCGGAAATACTGAACTTCTGCCAAGAGATAAAAGCTGAGATACAACGAAGGATCGACGGAGTACGCAGCTGCATATTCTAAGCCCACATGTCTAGTTCACTCATATATATTCACGGATCTATAGGTTCCCTTTCCCGCCAATGCCTAGCGTTGATCCCAAGCCTCGAGGGTGCCATGCCCTCACATATATGTCTTGAAGAATCAATACGACGCGTTGAAGATTTCTCATCTCTTACGTTCATTCCTCGTGATATTTGATGACAGATCTTCGTCTTGGTGTTTGTAGGATAGATACTATGTGGAATGCATACGACTCGCCGAGAACGATAGCTCCACATTTACACCTTTGTAATGTGTTCCTGGTTCATTGTGTTTGGAGTATTCATGCATCCTCGATCCCAAAGTAAATATTGAACGTTGTACATGCGACAGGCCTAGGATGAAGATGGACATCCGAGCGCTCAGGCTGAGGTAATGGGTCGCGCGGCGGTATGCGGCAAGTAGCATCTCTGTGCGACTCATGCTTCGACCTCACAGAGTTCCTGTGTTCTGTCAACAAAACCTCGTGTTCATCGCGATCTGTACAACACACGGTCGAATCATCTCCGGGGGTGGTCTGATGAGAATGGGAAGAGCACTCACCTCAGTAGTTTTGGTGTCCACTTCAGAGGCCAGGTAATGCAAGAAAGCCTTCAAGCTCTGGACTGCCCTCGGAAGGCGGCAGGTGAGGCAGTTCTGGGCCATCTGATCGAAAGATGCGTCGATGAACGAAGGTGCGCGAACGACGTCTCCGGTCGGTCGCTCTATCAGCTGCTGTCGTGCCGATTGTACGAGCGACATCCACCACTGCTTGGGGAAATGGACGCCGCCGTTTGGCAGGGCTTGATACGGTACAACCTTTTCGGCTGGACAATATTGACACGTAACCCATGGTGGGAGGTTGGCGGCATTCCACTGAACAGACGAACGTGGGGAGGCCGCGCTATCATCTATAGACGGCGTGCCAACGGGAATCCACGAGAGATTCGTGGCGAGGGTGGAGAACTCCGCCTCACACCGCAGAATGTACTGCATGAGGTGCTGGTACGAGAGAGCGGGTATACTCGACAACTCCCGTGCGCCTTGCAAGGTAAGGTCCTTGAGAGTGAACCGCAAGGAGGCTCTGGCCGCAATGCGCGCTTCATCTTCCAGCCCATGGGATACCGCGATGGCGTATACGCGCATGGGAGCAGCAGAAGCGTGTTTTGACAACGAGTGCCTCAGAAGCTTCGTGGTCGCGCCTACATCGTACTTCACGGCCGCGGACAGAACCGCTGCCAGCTCATCGAGGTCGTTCAATTCGGGGTTGTCGTACGGATAGCAAAAGTGGAGCAGGCGATCTATGATCTTCGAGTCCTCCGACACGTCTACTACAGGGAGACCCTCCTTGAGCTCCTGCGGGCCACCAGGCGAGCCATGCTTCGCGTTGGATGAGGCAGGGGGAGACAATGGGCTCGAATCGGGAGAGCCTTTCGCCTCGGCTTGAGGAAGCGAGAACATTGTTTCAAAGAAAGACGAGGCTTCTGCAAGGATGCACTTGTGGACGTGAAAGTCAACACCGTCGCTGGAGCGCAGGACAAGATCCGCGCTTGGTTTGTTGAATGGGTGGCCGGCTTCGTGGATTTTGGACATCTTGCAGACGACGGGAGAAATCGGCAAGACTTCAATGGATCCAGGATATTATTAGTTCCGTGATCTAACGCAGGTTTTGCGCCTGGACGACAATGAGTGTATGAAAGTATGAAAGGGCATGCCAGCGGACGGAGCTAACCGGAGTTGAATGTCGGACATCTTCTCTGGACTCCGTGCCTCCGATTGCAGGCCAGCGCGAGGACATTCCGTTGTCCATCGCACAATAACTTGGACTCGATCTCGGGCTATCCTGGCTTTGGTATCTTCTGAAAGCTGACAGCTTACAAGAGAACGATCCCACACTACTGCACAATGGACATCGAAGAGTACGTCACGACAAGGTCCATCTGCGGAAGTACTGGTCTTTAATCATTGATCATATCCAAGGTTCAGAAGAGCAGGGTATCAAGCCATCGACCGCATTTGCGACATGTATTATGCGATGCAGGACTCGAAGCGGCCCGTTGTCTCCCAGGTTGCGCCCCTTCCCGCCTCACAACAACCCTCGGGCACTGATCTCGGCTATGTAAACTCGGAACATGCAACGGCGACCGCTCATTGTGCGACACGATCTGGCAGGCCGAACCCGGCTACTTGCGTCAGGCGCTTCCTGGCAAGTGTCGCTGTCTGTCCCCGAACAGGAAACGATTAGAGAACTCATGATTGCGATACGCAGCTTCCCCTCCGGAGAAGGGGGAAGATTACGCACTGATCGCGGATGACTACCAGAAGTTGATCGTACCCGGTGCGTGCTCGCTCTCCCAACATACTTTCAGAGTCTCACTGAAGTTCCCCATCTCTCGATCTGTTCTCTACAGGTCTAACATTATGGCAACATCCTTCCTTCTTTGCCTACTTCCCCACCGCAAGTACCTTCGAAGCCATCCTCGGTGACTTGTATGCGACTAGCGTTCCCAATCCAGGATTCAACGTGGGTTAAATCCATTCCTGTTATTAACGTCATGATCTAGCTCATCCACACGATCCTTCAACAGTGGTCTTGCAGCCCTGCATCCACCGAGCTCGAGGCGGTCGTCATGGACTGGTCTGCACAGATGCTTGGTCTCGATCCTGCGTTTTACAACACCTCCGGTGTCGGTGGAGGCGTGCTTCAGGTTTGCATAAAGCCTTTTGCAAATTCTTTGCCGTGTCGCTGACGTTTCAACGCAATGCAGACGACCGCATCTGATTCCGCTCTGGTGGCTATCGTCGCTGCTCGCGCACGCTACACGTCTCTTCACCCGTCTGTGGCACTGGAGGACTTGGTCGTATACACCACCACGCAGACGCACTCGCTCGGCGCCAAAGCTGCACTAGTTTTAGGCCTCGCGTGCCGGTCGCTTCCCGTTAAGGCCGAAGAGAACTTCGCGCTGCGGGGCGAGATTTTGAAGGTCGCGTTGAAGGAGGATCATGCAAAGGGCAAGAGGCCGTTCGTTCTCGGTTGGTGGATATATGCGCTGGTTGTTCGTCGAGAGGACCATCATTGATCGTCGATGATGTGATTCTGCAGTGGCGACCGTCGGGACTACGTCTTCAGGCGCTGTGGATAGGATCGATGAGATCGGCGCTGTCGGTGAGATGCCATTTCGATACATAAGTTCCGGCGCGATGCTAATGAGGTTGGGGTGCCAGTGAGCGAGGTACCTGGTATGTGGATGCACGTTGATGCTGCATGGGCCGGGATCGCACTCGCATGCCCCGAGTATCGAGAGTTCTGCCAATTGGATGCGATCAACACCTACGCGGACTCGTTTTGCACGAATTTCCACAAGGCGAGCCATTCTCTTATCAAGTTATTACTTTCCATTGCTGACTTACTGCCCACCGCTGCCTTCCTGATATGTATATGCTCACGAATACAGTGGGGCCTTGTGAACTTCGACGCATCGACACTCTGGGTGAGAAACCGGAAGCATCTCACAGACGCGCTAGACATCACCCCCGAGTTCCTCAGGACGAAGCATGGCGATGCAGGTCTGTATCAATGTTGCCGCGCTATTGCCCTCCTATGCTCACTACGCCCGCGTATAGGAACTGTGATCGATTACAGGAACTGGCATCTGGCTCTCGGGCGTCGTTTCCGCTCTTTGAAGGTTTGGTTCGTCCTCCGTGGCTACGGTGTGGAAGGGTTCAGGACGTACATTCGACGGGTATGGCGTCCCGCGCTGCACGGTCATATGATCTCAGTGCCTGAGCTTTAAATTTTCCACAGAGCATTGGCCTCAACGAAACGTTTGCGGATCTTGTTCGCGGGTCTTCCGTGCTCGAGCTTGTCACGACGCCATCGCTCGCGTTGTCAGTGATCCGTGTCTCGCCGTCGATCTCCAAGATGTCCGCGCAAGAGCTCAATGTGCTCAACCGCGTGTTCTGGTCTCGAGTGAGCAGTCGGCCGGAGATATATCTTACGCAGACGGACCTCAATGGCGTGTTCTGCGTGCGATTCGCAGTGGGCTCGTTAATGACCACTGAGGAACATATCAAACAAGCGTTCAATATTCTCACAGAGGAGGCGGAGGAAGCTCTCCGGTTGTATCATAGCACACCGCCTGCGTGAATGTGTTTATGGTGTGGTAGACGAATATCACTCCTGACCCTCGAATGCGCGCTACCTTAGTACTGCGGTGTTTCCACCGCCTCGCCATATCCCCCCATCACCTACGGCGTCAGTCCCTCGCTTCGCAACTGCCACAGCTCCCCTCTCTCGGCCAATCCTCTCAACCAAAGGAAGGACCTGGTACGCTCCTCGATATTGGCGTATCCAGTTGCTGCCCGGATCCAGCGAAGATTCGTACACGGTTCGTTTGCTATGAAATGAGTAAGGTTGGCGTCGTACATCGGAGCGTGCCAGTCCACGCGATTGAAGCTGACTATGACAACCTGCAAGGGCAGGGCGCCCGTCGGTCGAGCTCCCAGCAGCTTGATCAAACCCCTTAGACTGAAGTGGGCCAAGTCGAAATAGGGGTTAAGCAAGACCACGACCTCCAGATGAGGGAGGGATAAACATGCGTCGGCGAATTCTTCGCTGATATCGGCGTTGTTCAACGCCAGTCGACGGAGTTGGAACATCCCGGTCCAGTTACCTAGGATGTTCGTGCGGGCCCGGACTTCTTCCCGACTTCGCAGGAAGAGCTCATCCTGACATGAAACGAAGGTTTCGAGGTGCGGGATGCTGTCTAGCGTATATCGAAGCAGCTGCTTGACATCCCCTGGGTCTTCCTCCGGCGTTACACCCCGCAGTGGCAGACTCAAGATGATGGTGCGCAACGTGTGGCGTGCGTGCGTGAGGAGCGAGCATAGGGCGGGTATATGGTTGAGAAAGTGTCGGCCCCAATGGTGCGGATCGGTCACGGAAATGCTTGTGAGGTACTTTGAAACGTGCGGTGAATGAGCGAGATCTTCGCATGCTCTAGGTAGGACAATCCGGATGCAGGAGTAGAGTAGGGGGATGGTGAGCTCGCGCAGCATGCGCGAGGCTGAACACATAGAGAGTAGAGTGCGACGCGTCGTCTCATCCGGGAAATAGAGACCGTCGTACAGATATGCGAGGACATTGAGTATGAGCTCTGGCGGAAGGCTCGACATCACGGACTCGGCTGTGGGTGTCATTGAGTACTAATAGGCATAACCCATCGCCGTGGCACGTTGGAGGACGCACCGAGCTCTAGCGGTTCGTGAATGAGCTGGCTGCTGCTATGTAAGAGATACTAGTCGGGAGGTGGTCAAGCGATAGTTCACCTGTGTATCCTGCTTCTGTTTCATGCAATATCTGGCCACTGACTGAGCTGTCGGTTGGTGCAGCTTTGCTGGTTGAGCGCCGAGGGGGCCCGGCTAAAGCTAAGTTATGTTCGTTTGTTTATGTCATCAATGTGCGACGAACAACGCATGGCTTACATGCCGCTCGTTACCACTGTAAATGTTTGAGTCTGGTACGTCTGCTGGTTTTGATTTTCATAGTGTAATACGTGCGTGGATGAGAGTAGTACTGACATACAATGACAAGCGATCTACTCAGTTTCATCGCTCATGGTCTTGCTGTTGGGGAGGTGATGTACCCCCTATCCTCGCAAATGCCACAGCTTCCCGGTTTCGGCCCGCACCCTGATCCAGGAATATTTCCAGTCAACCTGGCCATCCATCGCCCTGCCATTCTCCGATTCGGTGCGGATGACATGCAAATTCGGCTGTCTTTTGCTCAGCGCGCCTGCGGTGCGGTAGTAATCAGCAGTGTGCCTCCCCTCGAGACAATCGAAGATGAGTATCACGACCAGCGGATTGACGTTGTGGGACCGTGATTGGAGCAGAGTGGTCACGCTCCCGAGTTCGGGCGAATCGAAATCGGCGTTGTAGAAGACTAATGTCTCCAGGCGTGAAAGGGACAGGCATGCAGCCGCGAACTGTTCGTCGATGAAGGGGTTGTACAGTGACATTCGACGGAGGTGGGACATCCCTATCCAGTGTCCCTCGCGATGGATGAAGGTCTCGACCTCGTGGTTGTTGCGGAGGAAGAGCTCATCTCGACAGCTGACCAGAGTTTCTATGTTAGGAATGCCGTCCAACGCATGTCTGAGCAGCTGCTTGACGTCCTGCGTATCGTCTTCCGGCCAAACCGCCCGTAAGGGCATATCCAAGATGACCGTACGTAATGTAGTGCGCGCGTGTGTTAGGAGCGAGCATAATACGGGTATGTTATCGAGGAATTGAGGTCCCCATTCGGTGGGGTCGGAGACGGAGATGCTGGTAAGGTGTTTGGGTACGTGATTCGAGCGAGCAAGCTGTTCACATGCATCAGGTAGGATGACCCGGATGCAGGAGTATAGCGGGGGGACAGCGATCTCGTTAAGAAAGCGCGAAGTCAAGCACAGAGAAACGAGAGTGCGACGTGTCGGCTCATCCGGAAAGTATAGGCCGTCGTGCAGGGCATTGACAACAGGGATCATGAGCTCCAGAGGTAACCTCGGCATTGTGTGGGCGTTCGCGTGTTGGAGTTGGTGTGTTCAGGTCGGTTTTCGGCTGCTACGAAGCGTCAGTAGTTGTACTGGGTCTATGACTGCAATGCCATAACGCACTGACAGCTTACCAGCGCTATTTCCCTTCTATACATGAAGCCGGACCTCAGCTAGGACCTCAGCGCGCCCTCAGCCGCGTTCTTGGGCGTAATGAGTGCTGTCCCGGTCGGCCCTGTCGATGTCGTTGATTGGGCTCCGGGCCCCGGGCAACCGAGTTTGCAAGCATGAGGTTCTGCGTGCAATTTTACGGCAGACTCATGGGTGGCCGTTGCGACCGTGACCGCCGAGGAGCATCTATGAGGCGAGCGTATCATGCCCATATTGATATCCATATAAGGCCGAGCAACGCAGGATACATAAGAGAGAGCAAACACCGGAAACGGTTGAGCTTGGTTGGTGGGTGTGGCCTACGCGCCTCATACAATTACTAGGTCTGTTCAATTCCGAGCTACAGAGTTTTAAGCTCGTAGCTCGTAGCTCTGTAGCTCGGCGACCCGGCCTGGCCACGTGATAATCCCGCCGGTGTGGCAGCCAGTTTTGGATATTGCGCCGGAGCAGTAGATTATTTGTTCATAGTGTTTACCGTCCCATAAAAGTTATCTCAGGCCTCTATACAAGTACGATAGTATTCTTAATGCTTGCTAAGGCGATATGCGCGGCAGATACGCTGGAATATCTAGCAACAGAGGAATGTGGTCTCCGGCAACCGTCGGGCCAATCCCACGTGTCGAGGCCGGGTCGCCGGGCTACAGATGGGGATGAGCAACGCCAGCGAGAATTTCCCGCTCCGACGTAAGTTCACACGCGTCAGCCACCTTGGCTCGCAACGGTAAGAACGGCTCATGGTACGTCCGAGGTGGTTGACGTGCCCGGCACAACAGTTCACAGAACATCTTGCAGAGGGAAGTTGGTTATCGAGACTTTCCGGACAAAATGTTGGTAATAGAATTCGCGTCTTCGGCCTACATAGTGAGATCCTCGTATTCTGAAGGGATAAAACCAAGGAAATACGGAAATCTGTTCCCAACATAATGTTTGGACGTACTCTGAGGGCTTCCACTAATATTTTCCGCAATAATGATCCTGTGGCCAAAGCTCAGCGCGGTGTTCAAGGAGACGGGCCCAAACTCCCGGATCTGCTTATCTAAGCAGCGGAAACTTGCCCGCCACCTTATCGGCACGCCTCGCGGAGTTGGCGAAAGCTCGAGATGGCCAAGC